CCAATTACTGCACAACTGTTGGATTGTAATATCTCGAAATCCGCCTCCACCGGTCTGGAGGCGAAGACCACCATTCGCAGCCGTGTAGTAGTCCTTGAGGTTGTCACAGTTCCAGCCTCCCGGGTTGTTGGGGCCGAAGACTTCGCCACCGTCGGCGCCAGCAACACCCGCCCAGAACTTGGGATTTTGGTGTTCGTGATAAAGTCCCCAGGCATGACCAAGTTCGTGAGCAAAGTTGCCAACGACATCCAGCATGCCGATGTCAGTGCTGTCGCTGAGAAACATTTGTGGGCCAACCCCCCCGATCGTGCTGCTGGGGAACCCAACGGTGGTGGCCAGGACACCCTCGCGGTAATGCACCGTCAGGACTTCAGTGGCCTCGGATGTGCACACGTTGTCGTTGACCTCCTCGATTCTGAAGTTGCTGTCCAGTCCTTTGGAGATCCAGATTTTGCGCGCATCCTTCAGAAATTTCTTCAGCGTGCTCTTTTGCGCCGCTGTCGTTTCCTTCGCGAAGCAGTAGCGAATCACGCGGTTGGGCCACGGCCTTTGCGACGTCGATGATTGGTCTCTGGTAACATAATAGTACCGTTTGTCCAGCATGGAGCTATTGCTTCTGCTGACGAGCCCCGGTTGCCAGATGGAACTTCCAGCCAGCACATGGCTGCCAAACAGGAGGCAGAAAAGAGATAAAACGAGCGTAAGGGGCACCATTGTTTCCGTGAAGAGGAAAAAAATCCGTTTGAAAGAGAGACTGATGTGACGACGGTGTCAAGACAAGATATTGCACAGAAAGCAGACGAAGGGGAGGCCAGGTGAGGTAAAGTGAGCTGGCGGCAGCTTGTGTGTCGACCCGGAGACGTTCGTCCGATGGATTCACCTGCTTGCTTGTTCACACAACCCCTGCTGACTGCAGCCTCGACGCCCCGGGCCATCATCGCGTTTAAAGCCCGCTCTTCTCCGCGTAATCTCCATAGCGGCCGGCTCTATCGGTCAAGGGGGTCCCGGTCTTGTACCGGTACATGCCCCGCTTCCCACCCACCTTCCCGGCTCCTTCGCCGGAGATATCGCCAAGTCTATACCGTCGTAAGATTCCTCATCCTTTGGGACAAAACATTCTCTGCAGAAGCGCAGAATTGCACATCAGGCACACACGATGCAGATGTTCAATAGTTCCATATTGCACATCCGATTGCTGAAAATTCGGCCCTTCCGAATCCTACAACGCGCCAGAGGCTTGAGATTAATGTTACTTTCAGTATGGATGTGAAGGACCACCATCTGGAGATACGCGGCAACATCGTTCACGAAAAGAACTTTTGTCACTAGATGGTGCCTCGAAGCTCTTGCAGATGTTCGAACTGATACCCGTGTCGTCCCGCCGAACTCAAAGTTCTCTGGTGTGTTCTCTGGCGACCGGACAACTCAATTCTGTTCACTCTTTCACCGACGGCTGGCTGCGTTCACTCTTTTAGCTTCACGGTCGACATGAATACGCCATCCAACATGATACCGAGCCTCAGAGTTCGGGCAGCTGCCGCTTTGGCCATCGCCGTGGGCTATCAGCATGCCCTCGCCCAAGACACATCGCCATCCGGCGCCACAATGGACGGAATAGCCTGGGACTGCAGCGGTTGGCACACCGTCGTCTCTGGCGACACATGCTATTCCATTGAGCAGCAGTACGGCATCACAGAGGCCGAATTTCTTGCGTGGAACCCGGCCGTGTCTAGCGACTGCGGTACCAACTTCTGGCCCGACTACTCATACTGCGTCAGGGTCGGAGCCCCGGGCCCGACAATGGAAGGCATCGCAAGCAACTGTGATGCCTGGCACACCGTCGTATCAGGAGACTCGTGCTACAGCATAGAGCAGGAGTACAGCGTTACGGCTGATCAGTTCTTCGAGTGGAATCCTGCTGTATCGACTGACTGCGCCACCAACTTCTGGCCAGACTACAGCTACTGTGTCGGCATCAACGAAAACCAAGACTCCACGACCAGCAGTGCCTCCTCGGCAACTGTCACTTCGACTGCCGCTATTACAAGCAGCACAAGGACGAGCGTGAACACCACAACGACTCCGTACTCGACACGCTATCCCGTCACTTCGTTCAATCTCACGGCGCCGTACACAGCTACGGCCCTGCCCCCACAGCGGACTCTGTCTGGTCAACCGAGTTACTGCAATACATGGCACATGGTAGCAGGAGGCCAGACGTGTGAGGATGTTGTCAACTACTACAGCAACAGACTGACGCTCGAGCAACTGTAAGTCTGAATCTTCTAGACGTCTGACTCAAACTGCGACTGACTTAATGCTCTTTGCTTTCAAGCCTCGAGTACAATCCTACTATTGGACAAGATTGCAGCGGCTTGTATACAGGCTGGTACATCTGCGTCGGCATCCAGTCCCAAACCTCTTCGAGGATAGAGTGGTACACGTCTCAGACCAACTTCACCGCGCCGGCGTCTACACCCTATCCTGGCTATGTAGCCACTGCTGTTGCCAACTACACCGCATCTCCGCAGCAGACGGGCATCCCCAGCAGCTGCCAAAACTACTACCAGGCCCAGGCAGACGATACTTGCACGGCCGTTCTCGATGTATACGACTACATCACGGAGGAGCAATTCTTTAGCTGGAACCCGGCCCTCAACGGTGACTGCCTGGGTCTCTGGTCCGGCTACTACTACTGCGTTGCCAACTTTGCGGCCGCGAGCGATGTACCTATGCCTCCCACAGTCACGAGCGGAGCGTCTCCCACGGCAACAGGAACTATTAGCACCTGTGAGAAGTGGTATATCACCCGGGTCAACGACGACTGCGCCACCGTCGCCGCATGGTTCGGCACCTTCTCCGAGTCCGACTTCATCTCCTGGAACCCGAGTGTCGGGTCGTCATGCGCCAACATCCAACAGGACACGTATTACTGCGTAAGTGTTCCAGGAACGGCCACGACGCGCTCCAATGCCGTGACGACAACTGTGCCCGCGAGCATGCCGACTCAGACGGGTATCGTGTCTGGCTGTACTCAATTTTGGCTTGTGTCGCCATCCGACACGTGTGATACCATTATCGAGGACAGCGGCGTTGCCAACGCCACTATCTTTCACGCGTGGAACCCGGCCGTCGGGTCTGATTGTGCTGGCCTGAAGGTAGACTACTACGTTTGTGTCAGTACCAGTGAGTGGGAGACCATCGCCCCCATCAGCACTGTTACTATCTCGGCCGGCCAAACCATTGTACCCAGCACGACGGTTGCCTCAAACTCAGCGTCAGCGTCTGCATCTTCGTCTACGACATCGTCTGCTGGCGCCTCGACGACGACCAGCACTGCCGTGACAACGCCGTCGCCGTTCATGCCGGGTATGGTAGACGGATGTGTCAGGTTCTACTTCCGCGGCAGCGATGCAGCTGCCCTGTACTGCTATGATATCGCTTCATATGCGGGCATCGCCCTCAGCGACTTTTACACATGGAACCCGCAGGTCGGCACCGATTGCACCAACCTGTGGGCTGATACGTGGTATTGCATCGGCCTCTCGGGGTCGACTCCGACGACGATCTCATCGGGTGTGCCTACTCCGGCCTGAACTTCGTCCTAGACAGACTATTAAGGCTCTTATTTTTATGTATATATGCATCGAATCAATTTCATCTTATTGTTACTTGTGCTTAGAAGTTAACCTAACCAACTCCCTTGGGGCGCTTATTTGGCATGAAAGTAATTACCGGGAGACTAACTACTAGAATAAGTAAAGGCTTCGCTCTGATTAATCTCTGGCTTTCAAACATTGATGCCGTACACTAGAATCTACAAAGACGGAGACAGTTGGGTTAGAACATGAGCTATGGGAAGAGTCAAGTTTGCAAACTGCACAAGGGGTCAATTGCCCTGGACTCATTCTAATAGAAGCTGAGACTCCCATGTTAAGCAAGCCCATCTCCGTAAATCTGTTTGAGTCTCCCTTTGTTTCTGAGAAGCAACTGACCATCTTGGAAACATTTTTCACCTCACTCCTAGTAGATCGAGATATTTGACAGCATCTCGTCTAGTTTTTCCACTGAAACTATCAAATAGAGAAGGAAACTTCCAGCCTTCGGGTGAGGTCTATTATTGAATTGAGTAGCTGGTTTTCAGAAGAGCTCTAGAATACGATCAGATAAAACACCGCTTGATTGGGAAACACCCCTGAACTCCTGGTGTAATCCGTCCTTGCATCTGCATACATTTTCAAGACACGAGATGAGCCAATCGTGAGCTTCTTGCCTAGACCTTTCTGGGCTATTAATGGTCGTTTTCAGGGGAGGCTTGGATGAATATGAGTACAATCAAGACCTGTGAAATGAATGAGATCTTGGATGCGTTTAGCTCGTACCTCAACGGTCACCTCAGGTGACATCGCCAATGCAGCTAAAGGTTCTCTTTCAACCGAGTAAGCGAGCCCACTCTCAAATCAAATAATTGCAACCTCCTTCGCAAAGCCATTGACCTTTACTCGCTCAAAAGCTTTAGAGTAGGCGCAGATGTATGCGTCAAGACATGGCTCTTCTTCTGCAGGTCCTAGAGAAGGTTGAAGCTGCAACTTTCAGTCAATTCTTTGCGGATCAACGGGAATAAAGAGACAACATATACTCCACCCAACAAAAAATGGATTGCTATGCAGCCTGATCACACTTGATACTCAAAAAGGGAAACGCAAAGAGAAGACCCATCTTTACGCGACGTCCATTTCGGGAACCTGCAGGAATACCCCCTCATTGTTGGTGCATTGAGACCTTGGCAACGGCTGCCTACAGACAATTTGACAAACAACAGTGCCTGCCACATCGGCACATAGAAGAAAGGGGGTTGCACGGCAGAGAGCTCTTGAAAAGTGTCACCGTTCCTCTCCCTTTGCATTTCCGTGCTTCCTCAATTCTCATCTTTCCGTTTCACCGCAGTCCTCTATCCGACCTGTTTCCCCTGCCGCCACGATGGCGCCCCTCCCGCCACGATGGCAGACTTGTACTACTCGTACAAGGATTCTACGAACTACGTACTTGGGTGGATGCGGTTGAACTGCCGACCGAGCGAGGCTGTACCGGCGGAAGAGAAATTCAAAACCACGGCGGAAATCATCAACGCGGCCAAAAGAGTTCGGAACCTGAAGAAGGAGGTTCCTCAGTCTGTACTTGCATCACTCGCAGATGCCATCAAAACCCGGCAAAATGTCCTTGAGATTGTCAGAGGCTTAGAGGTATCTGCAAACAGCCAAAATGATGCCGACAGCGACCGCACACATGCGGCATTTATCCAACGGTAAGTATCTTTCCCTAGTTTCTCCCCTCCTGGATTCAAATCGGGCGCTTGTGATCTTGCTCCTCTCACTGACAAATGCAGGCTGTCCAATGTTCTCGAGATCCTGATGCCGCTCAGGGCAGCAAACGCGGCGAACCCTGTGCTTTCACCAGATGAGGCCCGCATGATGCAAACCATCAACCGATTTGAGGGATTTGATCTGCTTCAAGATGTTGAGTCAAGCGACTCTGAGAGCAACAGTAGCGGCGGTCCCTTAGAGCCCTCGGCAATTGAGGAACCTGCCGAAGAAGTCTCCGAGAATGAATCTGACAGCCATCGAGAGTTGCTGGGATATGATGGTATTGTCCTTGAGGATGACGACATAGGAGAGTGGATTGAGTTGACGCACTTCATCTACGTAAGAATTTCAAGACGTATCGAATACGCAGTCCATTTGTGCTGACAAAGACCAGGAATGGGACTCCATCTGCAAAGTCGTTAACGACTGCTGGGTCGAAGCAGCTGAGGGCAAGATTCCCATCTTGATGGCTACCTGGGTCTCGAACATGGCCTTTAAACAGGCGGGACAGATTTTCGATCGCAAGATACCCAAAATAGTCAAGACCTATGACGAGCTCGTGGAAAAGTGGATCTACCACAAAGGCAAGGGCATCGATCTCATGTTCGACGACGACGAGGGTCTGCTCGAACAAGGCCGTGGACGTTTCGCCAACCTGAACGGTCTCTGCCACCCGGGCGAAGTGCTGCAGTATCGTCGCACCAAGGGCAAGTACAAGGTTGCTCGCCGCGAAGCTGCCGACCGCAGGGACCCCGTCACCATCATACAACCTCCCTGGGCTTGGTTGCAGGCTCAAGAGAAGGCGGACGTAATTCATGACGACCTCGCCTTTGACATGTTCCAGGAGAACATGCGCTTACTTCTTGAGAACGGCCGCGGCATTGCCGGAGTGGAATCATTCCGAGGGCCCGGCCGGGCATGCGAGCCTTTGCTTATGCTCTGGAAAGAAGCCCTTGATGAGCCCGAGAAACCTCTGTCTGCGAAGCTGGTGTTCGGTCTCGAGATGGTCTTGTCGACCTTCAAGTCTTTCCTCTGGCCAGACGTCATGACGAACAAGACCAACTGTCGCATTGCTGCCTTGAAGTTCGCACAGGATGTCAAGTCGAACTTGGCGCAAACTCTCGATATCTTGCAGAAAGATGCTGGTCCTGAAAAGAGCCGGACCCGACAAGAACACGAAGACCGTCTCATTTCGATGATCGCCAAGATGGACATGTTCTGCCGTGAGAAGCGCTTCGACTTGTACTATCAAGCTCCCTGGATAGCGGGATGCCACATGCTCGAGTTCCACACCCTTGCGATGCACGATGGTGTCTATGTCTGCAGTGTGAGCGGTCACGTTTGCGCAACTCTCCATATGTATAACGCCCTGCGCCAAGTGGGCAACAAAACGATCAAGTCGATCCCCATCCTGGACTTTCTCTGCGAGATATTCAAAGACCGTCTGTTTTTCAGCGCGTTTCCGAAGAAGAAGTTCAGCACGTACTTCCGGAGAGCCCAAGGATGTGGCATCCAGAAAAACAAAGACCTCGTGGGTTGGTATGCCTCTGGACTGGCGCAGCCGTTCACCAAAGACGCCTACCGCAAAAGCCACATGGACACGGAGACCATTTCCCTGTTCCACACCGCGCACATGTGGGACTATACACCCAAGCGTTGGAGTTTCTGGAACGAGATCTTTGGAGATCCCGACAGGAAAGCTTCAGAGAAGGAGGCGAAACGGCTTGAGAGATGGGTCAGCTTGCAGCCCATGAACATCATCATCGAGGGCGTCAAGAACAAAGTTCTACCAGAACTGAAGGGTGAGAAGCCAGTCGCGCGCCTCAATTTCTTCGCCGTTTTCCGTCTCTGTGTCCGCATCATGGAGCGCTTCGCGAAAGACCTTCCCAAGGTCGCGCGTTTGAATGTGAATAAAAGTATGCTTCCACAGGGGGCTGGGCTTGGGTCCCTATATATGGACATCATCTTGGATGACTTTTCGGCGCAATTGGACGATGACTACGCTCGGAAGCACATAGAGGAATTCCCTGGCTTGCTTGAGTGTCGTAGGATTTTTGAGAGCCTGCAGGAGAATCTTGATGTCGCAAGCTACTTGTGGTCTTTCTGAACGCTGGCTTCATTAGCATAACCCCGGAGACATTGATGAATTGAGTCTTTTTCTCGCCTAGAATCGCTGATGGCTTTCATTTCTTTGCCCTCTTACTTTCCAGAATAATGGCACCTGACCTACCTAGCAGATCTGCTGTGCCGCAGAAGCCTTACTTACAACATGTGGTCCGAAGTTGGGCAAGGCAGAATCCAGAGCTCACATGACCATATCATCAGCCGTGAACACGAAAGCCAAGTAAGCCCAGCCACTAAATTTTGTCACTTGTCAGCATTCTTCAATCCTTCCCAGGACTGATGGGGCGGCCCGTCACGTAGGCAGGGCGTAAAGAGCTTAACCGACCAGCTGCAGCGACGTTCATCACGCTTTACCCGCAGGATTTAGTAAAGCTTGGCTATCGAATCATGGGCGATATAATGCGCATCCTCGGCTGATATACCTTAGCATCGCCTCATCTTGCAAGCTTATAAACAGTGATCCACTCTTGCGATACTTTTGGCGATGGAAGAAAGAAGTCCTCCATACTCTCATTCCATAAAGAACTAGCACGCCAAGAAACGGCTATGAGCAGCACTCAGAATAAGGATTACGACCCCTCCATCTTTAGCCAAGACACCATCGTCGGCTCCGACACCGCTTCCGTCCGCCCTCTTATCCGCGATGCCGATGATGCCGGCGCTGGCTCCGCTCCTCTCCGCGGCACTGATCGCCAGCCTGTTGCGACCGACAACTACCACATCGTCTCGACGCGGGTAGTCAAGGAAATCCCCAAGTCCGCCACCAAACCACCCGCAGACCCAAACTCGGCCTTCAGCAAACTCAAGAACATGCTGAAGCCGCCCGTCGTGAAGGCGGTTGAGGCGCTGCCTAGCACTGAGGGCAAGACGTATCATATCGATGAGCAGGGGCGCATCATCGAGACCACGGTTAGAAGAGCAGGTAAGACTCGCGAGTGCCAGACCACGCCGATATGACTACTGACATGGTGTAATGCAGCTGTGCAGAAGGGCATTCTGTCTGCTGGAACTGGCGATGGGGGCGGAGGCAGTTAAAGTGAATTTTGAGATGGGCTTTCGATTTATCAGATACTACCAGTCCATTCCATGACTTTGGGAATGACGATCTATTGACAATACAATGAAAATCCTCTTGCCGACCTCTTTGCCATGCGGGCCAGGAACAGAACTTTGCCGCGCGGGCTCTTGGCCCCTGGTGCCGTCCAGCGAGAATTATATCAAGTTAAATGCGGCCGCAAAGGACAAGAGTTGATTCGCAGTTCTTAATGCAGAACACGTGAGTGAGAACATATATGGCTGGTTGTCGTCAACACCTTAGAGTTACCGAACTTAGGGAAGTGGCTGACAGCCGCTTCCTTTTGTTTGGTTTTGCAGAACCTATTCATGATACGTGTCTCCTTGACTTTCACTGTCATGACTTTTCTCCTTAAGTTTCAACCTGGACCCGAACGATGTAACAGAGCGTACCTAATCACGCCAAGGACCTTCAACATCGAATATCGCATGCGTAAGCAATTTCCTGTCGTCCTTCCTTGCATAACGAATCGAGACACACTGGAAAGAAGATGAAGTGACCTTAACACAATAGTCGACAAGGACCAAGATTCTGAGGACCCGTCGTCTTGTCTGGGAGTGCGACATCCGACTGGCTATTGATCTTCTCACGAAAGTCCACTTCAACTACCATGGTAGTAGATCTTTGCGGACAGGGGTGCGGCCAATGTTGTGCCATGGTGTTGGGGGAAATCATTTCGGGCGTGTACGACAAATGCGTCTTTGGGCAATCAGTAGCATTCAGTCGCCACGGCCGTATTGTTCAAGACCGGCTTCACCTGCCGGAATGCATGCGAATTGTTGCAGTCTTTGACCCAGGCATAACGGAAGCCTCAATATGTCTCAGCTTCTTCACGCTTTGCTGTTGTATTGTATGGGTCGTCATCGGGTTTGCAGCGCGAATGCTCCAAGGCGAGGAATCCGAGTTTGGCTTCTGGGCAATATGTCTCCCTCCGTTGGTCATACTCCTGCTCCTCTGGGTAGTTCTTGTGCTCATTAAAGAATGGCGGTCATTGGGACGGACACGCGCCTGGGACGAAGGTATCGAAATGCGTATTTCCATACCCGGCGACGAAGATTCCCTCGTTTGACGCCGTCCTGATCATCGGCAATAAGGGAGCAGACTTTACGAAGAAGACCATAACGAAGACAAGATACGTTCAAACATTTATCTATTAGATGTCAAATTTCCAAAAATATGTACTCCGCAGACTTTTGATACCACTATGCTAGCCAGAACCAGAACTTTTGCAACATGTTCTTCGGGATCGGCTCCTCGTCGAGCTCCGCCATGTCCTCCATCTCCTTCACGCCCGTTATGACGTCCACGTCCTCAGGACGCTTCGCAAACGGTGTGCGGAACCAGATCTTGTGGCCGACGTAGAGCACCACGAAGATGGGCAGAGTAATGTACGCCGCCAGGAAGTCCGAGACGCTCCAGTGGCCGGGGAAGAAGACCTGGAAGCCGTTGGTGAGGGTGAGGATGCAGAGGATGAAGAGGATGACCCAGGTGAAGTAGGGCTGCAGCGGGGTCTTGAAGGGCAGGCGGTGCATCATGTTGTGGAAGATCATGGCCTTGCGGAAGCGCAGGTAGGTGATCATGACGACGATCCAGGCGATGAAGCCGCTGATGGTGCTGATGTTCATGAACCAGGTGAAGACGGTCGAGGTGCCGCTGCTGACGGTGAGGAAGGAGAGCAGGCCGATGGACCAGGTGCCGAGGACGGCGGTGTAGGGGACGCCGCGCTTGGTGGTCCTGGTGAAGAAGCGCGGGGCTTGCTTGTTGAGCGCGAGACTGTAGAGGATACGGCTGCCGGAGTAGAGAAAAGCGTTGCCGGCGGACCAGGCGGAGGTGAGAATGGCGGCGTTGATGACGTGGTTGAGACCGCCAATGCCGGCGCGCTGGATGCCAATGACCCAGGGGGAGGCGGCGGCGTTGGAGGTCGGGCTGAGCAGGCGCTCGTCGTTGGAGGGCGTGATGGCGCCGATCATGAGGGAGCCGAGGCCGTAGAAGATGGCCAGACGCCAAACGAAGCGACGGGCGGCCTTGGGGATGTTGCGACGGGGAGCAACGGTCTCGCCGGCGGCGAGAGCGATCAGCTCAGGGGACGTGATGAAGGCGAATCCAGCGCGGACGAAGGCGGTCCAGTAGGCCAGGAATTTGCCTGTATGCCCGTCCACTAGGTATGGTGTAATTGCGCCAGGGTCGTACCAGTACAAGAAGCCAATGCGGCCCTCGTCGGGGGCGCCGCCGAGGATGATGACCAGGCTGACAAGGATCAGGCCCAGAATGGTAATGAGCTTGATACTGGCGAACCAGAACTCAGCCTCGCCGAAGATCTCGACAGCGAAAATGTTGAGGGCGAGGGTGACGACGAGGATGATGGTGATCCAGACGGCGGGGTGAACGGGTGTTTGCCAGTAATCGAGGAGGATGGCGCCGGCCGAGGCCTCGGCGCCAACGAGCATGGCGTATGCGTACCAGTAGTTCCAACCGGCGGCGAAAGCCAGACTGGGCTCGACGAAGCGTTCGACAAAGTAGGGGATCGAAATGCCCTTGAGGGGCAGGAAGGTGGCCATCTCGCCGAGGTTGTTCATGATGTTCCACACGAGCAACATCATGGAGAGGTATCCCATGAAGAGCGGCGCAGGGCCGACGGCGGAGAGAATGCTGCCAGAGCCGACGAAGAGACCGGTTCCGATGCTTTGGGGTGAGGTCAGCTTGCGTTTCTAGGCGCAATTGGTGGAAAGGGAATGAGAGGAAGACTCACGCGCCACCCAGAGCCAGGAACTGAATGTGTCGACTCTTCAAGCCACGCTGAAGCTGGTCATTGTCCTCGAGCAGGTTGGGCTCGCCGCCGAGAGCCGCGAAGTTGACGTCGCGGGGGTAGGACTCGCCCTGGTGCTTGGACTCGACGTCGTCCATGGGACCGCCGCCTCTGTAGTCTTTCTCCATTGTTTCTCAGCCAGGCGAGAACACGAAGAGAAGATTCGGAGTGGTGGTGGAGGAGTGAAGGAAAGGACGAGGGACGGGGACTGTCTTATTTGAAAAGAATTGGTCGCAAGTGGTGTCGGTGGGCGTCCCCGGCGCAACCACGGAATGATTCTAGAACGCGGAGAGCAGCGCGAACAGAAGAGAAAGGACTAATCGATTTAATCAAAGGACTCGAGGGGGATGGACTGCAGTATTATGGAGTCTCAGTCTGGGGGCAGCGACTTGGCCAAGAGGTCGAGTGCATGTTGGCTTCGGGGTGGATGTCGTGAGACATGAGGACCTTTGTACCGGGACTGACCCAAGCAACGGAACCCGCTCCCGTGGGATTGCCTGGCAGCTGTGTTGCGCCTGAGGAGCACTCCAGCAGGTAGTAGGATATTGAAGCCAGAAGGGTGTTGCTGGGTGACGTAGAGAATCTGGAGTCGAGAGTGCGACCCTTGAAGGCTCTGCAAGTGCTTGGCTGCTTGTCGAAAACTTAGGTACTGCGTAAAAGTGGATGGAAGATGCTCGGCACTGACTGGGTGGGTGGACGCGGGCAAGCTTCGCGGCGGGGAAACGCTAGGCCCAAAACGGCAACGGTGGCAGCCATCAGTTGTTTCTGTGTCGTAACGTTTTCAGTGAACCCATGGGGTAACGCACTCGGACGGAAGGCTTATCTACTTGGCGGGCCAGAATGCCCACTCGTGCTGGTGCCAAGCTCCACGGACATATCCACCTCGGTCGCACGCTCGGGAAAACGTGCGATAAGAAACATTTCATTGCTGATGCTGCTGACCGACGAAGAGACCGTAAATGTAACTGACCGAGTGGTATGGCATGGCATGGGTGAGGCGAGGAAACGGAGAGTTTTGCTTAGCGTCAAGAAGGTCACCCGATCCGGCATCCTCTTCCTTTTTTTTTTTTTTTTTTTTTTTTTTTAATTTATTTATTTATTC